CGCCGCCATGGCGCTGAAGATGGTGAAGGGCAGCATCGACCGTATGTTTGACAAGAACCTGCAGGACCTGGTGCGCGGCATCCGCAATCACAAGGAGGATGAGGTGAGGGGAGCCTTCCCCGCGCTCCGGCCCGGGGATGTCACCGCTGGGGCCGGGGCTGGAAAGGGAATGTTGGTTTGGGAAGGGGGAAGCGGAGTCAGAACGAGGAAGGTGACGCTGGGGTGTGGGGCAGGAGGGACAGGCTGGGTGAGAGCAGGAGAGTTAATAAGGGAGGGTCATGCTTGGTGCTCATCTTTCCATTCAATGTCTTGTGGTGTTGAGATCTGTGATATTCATATGGAGATATATATAAATATATATATATATACACGCGAATGTATACGTGATTATTACAGAGAAATAATGTAGAGGAATTCCTTCCTCTCCAGCTCTTCAGTCACGTGCTGTAGTCAGCCAGGTATTCTTCATCCTGAAGCTGTTATACAGAAGTAAGCGCCTAATTCAGCTTTCAGACCATTCATGTTTAGTATCTCCTGACTAAAACGTCCTTCTCTCAGAGCTTTTCTGGGCAGCAATCAGTTCTCCGTGCTGGCCTGTTATCCACTCTTGTGCGAGAAGCACGTGATCAGGAAATTAGTATAGGTGAAATAATTAGTCATCAAGAACGTGTTATGTGAGACTCCACAGTGAAGTGTCACACGGTAATTGAGAAGTAACGGGCCCCAATGTCATTTATGTTCATCTTCAGCTAACTCCTGAAGCCTGAGAAGCTTTCCTAATATTGGTCTAGCAGCTGGGCTTTGCTGGTGTGTTGGGGGGTGGCTGTGGAGTCAGTATCAGCTATCAAAAGCTGCAAAGTTGTAAACATGTAACTAAATGGAGACCTTTGCTAGGGAAACTGATCTTCCGTGCTGCTGCTATTGAACTGAAACAGAAAATTCAATTTCTAAAATCTCTGTGAAGCCCCTTGTGCACAGGACAGGGGGTTGTTTGGTAGTGAGCATACCTGGGAAATTTCTGTTTTTAACAGAATAGGCTGAGTTGGAAAGGAACCACCAGGATGATTGAATCCAACTTATTTCAGCATATGTTAAATTTATGGTATTGGTTTGGTGGCAGAGGAAGGCAGAGCTGATGTTCAGTGCCCTGAAAAATGTGGGAAACACCATGAAATAGCAACAGCAAATTTGTATGGAATTTATGAGCTTAGTGTTGTGCCAGAGCAGGACCTGGTGAGCAGTATTCTTATGGAGCCCCTCCAATGTGTTGTGCTGCTTTTAGTAAATCTGCTTTATTTCTTTGTGCGTAGGACAAAAAGTGTTTCATCAGCTGTCAAAGCCCTGAGGATCCTCCTGGTGAAGGTCCAGGCCTTTGTGGCACCAGTTCTTTGAGAAGAATTGAATGTTCTTTCTGAAATAATTTTGTGACAAACAGCTTCATAAAGAGAATTAAGAACCACACTGAGTTTGTTCTAATGTGTGACAAGAAATGGTTAAAATGCATTGGTTTTGGTGCCCTTTGGAGTTAGGGAAAAACACTGCTTGGACAATTTTGTAGGAAGGTGTTTCTGGGGTTTGTGCACACTCTGGGATTCAGCGAGGTCAGAGCAATGTATTGTCTCAGAACAGCTGGGCTGCAGCAGGATGGGATTTTAAACTCTTCTCTTTGGAGAACAAATGGTGAGATTTTGAAATAGATAACTACAGGGATAATTCCTTTTTATACCCACACGAGCACAGCAAAAATTACAACCCAAACCAGGATGTGTTCAGCTGATTAAGACACTGCTCTGGTAAAACCTGTGTGTTTGGGAATCCTTCAGACATTTATCTCAATTCCAGAGCGTGGCTGCAAACAGCACAGGACTGTGCCTTTTCCTGGCTCAGCTGAGAGAGCTGTAAAGCTGCTGTTGAGCTTTTGGGTGTGGATTCAGAGCTTCCCAGGCAGTGGCCAGGGACATTGGCTAATTTTCAGGTGATGTTACAAAATCAGAATGCTCTTTTAGAGGAACTAGCTGCAGAAATTCTTCCTCTTTTCCCTACAGTGTTTCCATTGTTCATTGTATCTGTTGAATGTTACTCCAGTGCTGTAGTTCCACCAACGTTTGTGTGTCTCAAGATAAGTGTCTGAGCCTAAGACAGACACTCTATCCTGTTCAGAAAAGCTAATTTGTTTAAAACAAACAGTGTGCTTTAGTGGGGAGGATGTTGGCTGTTGGTCTTGGCTCAACAGGAGTTTCTCCAGGAAGAGTTGTCTCTGGGAAGGAGCTCCTGTGGTTGATAAATAGCAATGATATGAGGAGAAATGAAGGCAAGCTTGTCATTTGGACTTGTGATTTACTTGTGCTTTTTGCAGGAGGTTAGTTTATTTCCATGGCTTGGGTTTTGTGTTTTGGAATTTAATCACATGGAAAAATCTGCCATCACTTATTCCCTCATGTCTCTGGGCAGTCTCTCCTGGTAGATCTAAGATGGAAACTTTTATTCCTTTCCACTTCTTAGCAGGTACCCCATGAGCACATTCGGTATTTCACAGCCCACTGAGGCTGTGCCAGTGCCTGGCACCCCAGTTCTCTGTGGGTTTCTCACTGCAGCTCTTTGACAGCCCCACTGACTTGGTGGTGGGTTTGTGTTCTTTTCCTGCTCGGTGTGTTTGTGTTCTTCCTCTGTGGCTGTGAGCCTCAATCTCACACCCCAGGGTGTGTCCTGAGCTCCGGCCAGGCCACATCTCTTCATTGATGAGTTTTGTGCTCCTCAGCTCATTAGAGGAGCTGGGAGTGCTGGAGGCTGCCTGGCCCTGGAGCTCACAGCCCCTCTGAGCACGTTAACTCCCAGTCAGAGGCATTTCCATTGTGTGACTCGGTTTTTTTTTGAGTTTAAAACACTGGAACTGAAGGGATGGGTGCCGCTGAGGGTGTGAGGCAGGAGAGGGGAGGTGGTTAAGGCAGTCCCTGCTCTGTGAGGCNGGCATGAGGCATCTGGATATGGGCATCCCAAAAACGGGCACCCCGGCATGGGGCATCTGGATATGGGTGCTCCAATAGGGACAACCCAAAACGGACATCTGGATATGGGCACCCCAAAAACGGGTACCCCGGCATGGAGCATCTGGATATGGGCACCCCGGCATGGGGCATCTGGATATAGGAACCCCAAAAAGGGCATCTTGGCATGAGGCATCTGGATATGGGCGCCCCAATAGGGACAACCCAAAACGGACATCTGGATATGGGCACCCCAAAACGCGCACCCTGGCATGAAGCATCTGGATATGGGAACCCCAAAAAGGGCATCTTGGCATGAGGCATCTGGGTATGGGACCCCAATAAAGGCACCCCGGCATGAGGCATCTGGATATGGGAACCCCAAAAAGGGCATCCTGGCATGGGGCATCTGGATATGGGCACCCCAAAAACGGGCACCCCGGCATGAAGCATCTGGATATGGGCACCACACCCAATAGAGGCACCCCAAAAAGGGCATCCTGGCATGGGGCACCTGGATATGGGACTCCAATAGGGGCACCCCAAAACNCAGTCCCTGCTCTGTGCCCCCTCCCTGTGCCCATTTCTGCTGTTGTGGGGAGCGCTGGAGCTGCTGCTGGTGCTGCAGGGTCAGTGCTGTGTGCAGGGATGAGGTGGCAGAGCAGCTGAGCTCCCTCCCAGCTCTGACACGTTGTGTTTACTTTCCACCAGATGCTTTCGTTCCTGTGCTGTTTCCCAGCGCCAGTTCAAAGCCAGGCTTGATCCTACTGTGCTTTCCTGACTTTTCACTTCCAATACCTCGTTCTCTCCCTTTCTTTTGGAAAAGGGATGCTTTTGCTAATGGGAGTGGTGTTTTTCAGCAGTTATTAGGTGGTTTTTTTATTCCATGAAATAACTTTGCCTGCTTTGTGCCTACTGCTTCAAGAACTGCTCCACAGCATGCTCAGGAGAGGACTGCCTTGTACCATAGGCTATTAAATATACTGGATTTTTGCCAAGATAGCCCAAACTGATAAATTATATCTGTTCTCCTAAATGTGTAACAAGGGGCAGGATATTTCTTTGCTGCTGTTTGGCCCTTGCACAGTGTTTTTCATTCACAGTTAAAAGTTTGTTTTTCCCAACAAGGAAGCTCCTGTCAGATGCTGATGTGAGATGTTGCTTTAGAAAACTGAAATTATTAAGTAACAGCAACAGGTATTAATGAGTGTGCTTAGCTCATTCAGACAGCAGCCCTGTGTTTCAGGTGGCTTTGATTTACTGCAGGACACTTAAGGAGAGAGAAGGGATTTCAAAAAGTCCTGTACTAAATATCTGTGCACTTCTCTTATAACATGAGAAGATTGTCCTCCCCCTTTCTCAGAGACTCTGCTGTGTGTGCCTTCATGTTTTTGGTAATTGATACTTTCAGGAAAAATCATATTGAAAAATTCACTTTTTGCTGTCTCTGGTGTTGGGTGATAAGTATCTCATTGCTGGTTTACACTTAAACTGTTTCAGAAGACTGAAAGGAGCTCTCAGTGCTGCTGGTTGGGAAAGAACTTAACTTCAGTGACTGATATAATGCTGAATGGGAGCAGCATTGTGTGTCATGCTGTGAAATGTCTGATTTACTGTCAGCCCAGGCTTCCCAACCTGCCAGTGGCTTCTTGCTGCTTACTGAGTGTTACCTGAGGACAGGGCACTTGTGTTGTTAAAAAAGCTTTTCCCTCTAAATAAAGGACTGCTGTGTTCCACTGCTGATTCCCAGCTTCTTCTGACATATTTTCAGATGAAATGATGTGGGGAGTTTTGAGGAGTCTTTTCACATCCCAAAACTCTCTGGGCTCAGAAGAAGGCTGAAGGCCTCCTCGTGCTCTGGCTTCTGACAGCCTGGCCTCAGCCCCTGGTGCAGCGTTGGTATTTGATGGTAAAGGACGTGGGATGGAACATAATCAGGGAATTTTGAGGAATGCTAAACAGCTTGTGGGTGCCTGACAGAGCAGCCCAACTGCTGGGCAGTGCAGCTCATTGATGACAGACAGCTCTTTCAGGCACTGCTGCTCCATCACTTGCTGTGTGTCACATACGTGTTGGTGTCTTTGAAGGCAGCTCATTATTCCACCCACTCCCAAGTGCA